GAGCATCTCCGTGCCCTCGTCGTCGTTGGACCGCGCGCCCGACTTCTGGGGCGGCGCGGTCTTCGGGCTGTCGAGGACGAGGACGAGGTTGATGAGGAACTGGAGCGGGAGCGCGCCGACGGCGATGGCCGCGCAGAGCCCCCACTGGTGCGCCGTGAGGGGCCGGACCTTGAAGAAGAGGCCCGTGAACTGGACGAGGATGTACTGGAGCACGAACGTGATCGCCATGACGCCGACGAAGAGCGGGTTCTTGGTCACGCCGCGCATGACGTTCCACTCGGCCCACGACTCGCGGAGCGCCTCCACCGTCTGGAGCTGGCGGCTGTTGAACTCGTTGAAGAGCTGCATGAGCACGAACGTGTTGAAGACGACGGTGAAGTGGCGCGTGCCCTCCTCCACGGCCTCGTTCTGGTGCTTGAGCTGGTCCTTGGACAGCCCGAAGACGTTCTTCACGAACATGGTGTCGCGGCCGTCGCCGTTGTGGTGGTTCGGGTGCGACGCGTTCTCGCCGACGCCGAACCAGCCGACCATGATGGGCTCGCTGAAGAGGAGGAAGCAGACGACGACGAGCTGGTAGGCCGCCTGGCCGAGCATGTTGTGCCACATGACGCGCGTGATCATCGGCCGCTTCTTGCCGTAGGGCGCGCGCTCGAGGAGCGCCTCCGTCGGCGGCTCGGACGCGAGCGCGACGGACGCGAGCGAGTCCATGATCACGTTGACCCAGAGCATCTGCACGGCGCCGAGCGGCGACATGCCGTAGACGAGCGCGCCGATGCACGCGACGAAGATCGCGGCGATGTTCACGGTCAGCTGGAACTGGCAGAACTTGGAGATGGAGTCGAAGACGTTGCGGCCCCACTTGACGGCCGCGACCGTCGACGCGAAGTTGTCGTCGAGGAGGATGATGTCGCAGGCCTGCTTCGCGATGTCGGTGCCGACGATGCCCATGGCGAAGCCCACGTTCGCCGCGGAGAGCGCGGGCGCGTCGTTCGTGCCGTCGCCCGTGACCGCGACGACCTGCTGGTCCGGGAAGACCGTGATGTCGAAGTCGCGCTCCAGCGCGGCGACGTAGGCGGCCTGCTCGAAGACGCGCGACCGCCGCATGCCCGTCACGAGCGCGAGCTTGTCCTCGGGCTGGCACCGCGCGAGCACGCGCAGCTTGGGCCAGATCGCGTCGAAGGCGGCCATGTCGATGATCTTGTCGCCCTTGGCGTCCTTCTTGAAGGGGTGCGTGAGCCGCTCGCCGACGGCGCCGCTGTCGACGTCGAACGCGCGGCGCACGACCTTGGGCGCGGCCGCGTCGAGCACGTGGACGCGCTCGTCGAACTCCGCGCCCGTCATGGCGAAGTTCTTCTTCGGCCCGGAGCCGCCGCCGGGCAGGGGCTCGAGGTCCTGGGGCCGGAGGATGCCGCACTGCGCGGAGATGGCGACGGCCGTCGCGAGCGCGTCGCCCGTGCACATGCGGACGTCGACGCCCGCGGTGTTGCACTGGCGGATCGCGCGCGTCACCGTCGGGCGCAGCGGGTCCTCGATGCCGACGATGGCGACGAGCGTGACGTCGCACTCCGCGGCGTAGATCTTCATGTCGCTCGCGTCGTCCTGGCCGGGCGCGAGCGCGTCCCAGCCGCCCTCGGGCACGCCGTCGAAGTCGCGGTACGCGAGCGCGAGCGTGCGCATGGCCGCCTTCTGGAAGGACTCGACGGTCGCGTCGCAGCCCGCGGCGTCGAGCGCGAGCTTGCTCGCGCCGTCCTTGGAGAGCGCGTCCGCGGCGTAGTCGAGGACGTGGGTCGGCGCGCCCTTGGTGAAGAGGCGGAAGCCGCCGCCGGGCTTCGGCACGACCCAGGACATCTTCTTCCGCTGGGAGCTGAAGGGGAACTGCTTGACGCCCCAGTCGAGCTTGCACGCGCCCGTCGGGTCCCTGAACCGCGGGTCCGCGCGCATCGCGTCCGCGTCGACGCCCATCTGCGCGCAGAGCTTGAGGAGCGCGCACTCCGTCGCGTTGCCCTGGTACTTCCACTGCTTCGTCGCCGCGTCGAGCGACGCCTTGGACGTCGCGCCGGAGTTGAGCACGGCGCACTGGTGCACGAGCTCGAGGAAGGGCGCGCCGAAGCCGGCGCCGAGCTGCGCCGACACCTCCGCGCCGGACGCGTCGTCGTGGGCGACGAGCGCGTCGGCGACGTACATGCGCATGACCGTCATCTTGTTCTGCGTGAGCGTGCCCGTCTTGTCGGAGCAGATCGTCGTCGCGGAGCCCATGGTCTCGCACGCGTTCATGTGCTTGACGCGGTTGTTGTCCTCCATCATCTTGCCGATGGTGATGGCCTTGCAGAGCGCGACGGCGAGGGGCAGGCCCTCGGGCACGGCGACGACGAGGATCGTCACGGCGACGAGGAAGAAGCGCATGATCGAGCCGAAGATCTTCACGCCGCTCTTGCCGTCGAGGTTCTTCGCGGGCATGGACACGTAGACGACGGTCATGATGACGAAGGCCACCGTCGACACGTAGAGGCCCGCCTTGCCGATGTCCATGGCCAGGCCGTCCATCTTCTCCTCGAGGTTGCCGCCGTCGTCGTCGCCGTCCGTCGTCGCCTCGACGTCCTCGGGCTTGACGGCGCTCTCCTCGTCGGCCTTGGCCGCCTCCTTCGCGCCGCCGCCGTCGTCGGCCTTGCCCTGGACGGCGGCGAAGATGCGGCCCTGGACGCTGTTGATGCCCACGGCGACGGCGAGCAGCTTGCCGCTGCCCGTCATCACCGACGTGCCCGAGAGCACAAAGGGGTCGCGCGCCGCGTCCGCCTCCTTGGCCACGAGCACGGGCTCGCCCGTGAGGGCGGACTCGTCCATCTTCACGTCCGTGCCCTCGAGGAGGATGCCGTCGGCCGCGATGACGTCGCCGACGGCGACGCGGACGACGTCGCCGACGACGATGTCGCGCGGCGCGATCTCCGCGGGCTTGCCCCCGCGGACGACGGAGACGAGCGCGTCGGACTCGAGCTCCTCCTGCTGGCGCCGGAACTCGCGCGCCTTCGTCCACTCGATGGACGCCTGGAGGTTGAGCACGACCGCGACGGTGAGGAAGATGGCGACGCCCTCGATGGACGCGACGAAGCGGTGGCTCGGCTTCTCGGCGACGATCATGATCAGGGACACCGTCGCGCAGATGATGAGCGCCTGCACCGTGTTGTCCTCGCAGCCCTCGAGGATGAGCTCCCAGTAGGTCTTCATCGCCGGCGGCTCGATGTAGTTCGCGCCGTACGTCTCGCGGCGCGACGCGAGGTCGCCCGCGTCGCCGCCGAGGCCCGCCGCCGAGTCGCTGCCCAGGGCCTTGCAGAGGCCCTCGCAGCCGTCGTAGGCCTGGAGGAACCCGCGCTGCTGGTCCTTGAGCATGTCGCTAAGGCCCTCCTTGGACAGGGCGTACCCCTCCTTCGACGCCATGGCGCGCGGGGGACGGGAACCGGAGCAGGGCGCCGGGCGACGGCGCGCCGACGACCGTCGCGGGCACCTCCACCGACGCTTCGAGACCGAGGCTCGAAGACCGCCCCGTCGACGATCGGCGGCGCCGCGCACCACTGCTTTTTGCCTCTTACACTTACCAATCGTCGGCCGGAACGCAACATTAACTGATTGAACCTAGAAGTTTACTTTCGAAAAAGGGTTGGACGTCGTCGATGATGGTCGCACGATCTCTGATGCTGGGTTTGGCATGTTCCAGGCCAGGGGGAGAGAAACTGAGCACACTTCGCAATGGCAATTCGGGGTCGAGCATCCCAAATCTTCAGCCCGCTCGTCTCGGGAGCACGCAGAAGCCGAGATCATTTTCCCCTCTCTCTCCGCGCGCGCGAGGCGGTCCCCGCGGCGAGGTTCTGGGTGCTCGAAGGTACTATGCCAAGCGAACCCCTCTCTCGTCGCCCCGATTCCGGCCGGCAGCCGCGCGGGCATAGTACCTTCGGGCGCCCCAGACCCCAGACGCAGCCCCGCTCCGCCGACCAACCACATTGTCTCCATCAAAAGACGACGTTTCAGCCGAGCGATACATTTCACTGCAACTTGGTCCGTCGATTAGTAAGTGTCTTAAGTTTTCAGGCCGCGGCGCAACATTGGCTGCAAGGTAGATTCCGCTGCCGAATCTGGGACCGCGCCGCCGACGCGCCGGCGACCGACTCCGACCCGGCGACGCGCGCGGCGCGGCTTCGGCGACTGGTCTAAGCGCCCCTCTCCCCCGCCCCCAGCCGGCACGCGGGCATGAAGGGGGAGGGGCAAAAAATCAAGGCGGCACGTATCGTGTAACAGCTGTCATGTTGAATACACACGCGTCGAAGCTGCCCGCCGCGGAGGTGTTTGGCCTCTTCCATGGAGGAGGTCCGCGCGCCGCTGGCGCCGGACGCCGAACGGAGCGTGCGCACGGCGGTGATCGGCAACTTCGTCGACATCTTCGGCCTCTGCACGATCCTGCCCTTGATCCCCTTCTTCGTCAAGGACGTGGGCGCGCCGAAGATCTGGGTCGGCCTCATCAGCGGCGCCCAGTTCCTGGGCTGCTGCCTCGGCAACTTCACCTGGGGCCAGGTCGGCGACCGGCGCGACCCGAACGCCGTCGCGCTGGGGCTCATGGTCGGCGACGCCGTCTTCTTCGCCCTGACGGCCGCGTGCACGGACGCGCCGTCGCTCTGCGCGGTCCGCGTGCTCACGGGCTTCTGCGCCTTCTGGGTCCTGGGCGAGACGCTCATCTCCAAGGTCGTGCCCGGGCCGCGCGTCGCCGAGTACAAGGCCAAGTACCTCGGCGGCGCGCTGCTGGGGCAGATCTTCGGGCCCGTCAACGGCGGCCTCCTCGGCACGCTGGGCTGGGCCTACCCCTGCTACGTCGCCGCGGCGGCCGCGGCGGCGGCGGCGGCGCGCCTCGCCTACGTGCGGCGCGGCCCGGCGGCGCCCGCGGCCGAGGCCAAGGCGCCCGCGGACGACGACGCCGGCGACCGCCCGCGCCGGAGACCGCCCGCGGCACCGCGCCGCCCGGCGGAACCGCCGTCGCGTCCGCGTCGGCTCGCGTTCGGACGAGCCGCGTCGTCTCGTCGCGCGCGCGACGAGGCGGCGGCGCGCGGCCGTCGACGGAGGTGTCGCGCGCGCGCGCCGACGTCGCGCGGCGTCGATCCCCCCGCCCAGGCGACCGCGCCGCGAAGCTCGCGACGGTCTTCGGCCACGCGCACTACCGCGCGGCCGTCTTCGTCTACTGCGCCGTCGGCCTCACGTTCAACGGCGTCAACACGGTGCTCTACGTGACGCTCGCGTACCGCTACGGCCTCCGGGAGTGGCAGGTCGGCCTCTTCGGCCTCGGCCTCTGCTTCGCGCTCATGCTGTCGCTGTCCTTCTACGAGACGTGGGAGCGGACGTTCGGCGTCTACGGCATGCTCGCCGTCTTCGGGCCCGCCGGCGTCGCGCTCTACGGTTTGCTCGCGGCGTTCGGGAAGGCGTCGCTCGGTGCCTTCTCGTGCCTCTTCTTCGCGTCCGTCGTCGTCTTCGGGCCCCTGTTCAACACGGCGACGATGGTCATCACGAACGTCGCGCGGACCTGGGCGCCGGGGGCCGAGGGCACGGCCCTGTCCTACGCGAGCCTCCTCCACAACGCCGCGCAGGCCGCGGGCTGCGTGGAAATCAACCGGTGGAACACCCCGTCAAGCAATTACTTCAAACCTCTCGAGCTCGGTCGAATCGAAGTCATTTCGGCTGATTTTGGGACGGATCGATGGCTCGCGTCGAGTGCTCGAAGCGCGGACGAAGAGCGCGTGTCAAAACGTTCGACTACGCGCACATTGACGTCGGGTGGAAGATGTGTGTCCGCGCAGGCCGCGGGTCCCGTGCTCTTCGTCTGGTGCCAGACGGCGCTCGGTTGGCGCGCTCCGTGGCTCGCGGCGGCCGCCGCGACGCTGGCCTTCGTCGCCGCGCCCCTGGCCGTGCGCGTCGCCGTGCCGCTCCCGCCGGACACGTTCATGCCCGCGCGCGCCTTCGAGGTCCGGCTCTTCGGCGCCGCGCCGCCGCTCGGCGGCGACCCCGGCGCGGGGAAGGCCCTCGTCGACGGCGCGGGCGACGCGGGCGACGCGGCGCCCCTCGCCGCCGCCGAGCCGGGCGACGCGGCGCCCCTCGCCGTCGCGGAGCCGGGCGACGCGGCGCCCCTCGCCGTCGCGGAGCCCGCGGACGGCGCGACGACGGTGTAACACTTCAGCGACTCGTTCAACAACGACCCAACGGTAGGGGGCGACACTGAAAACCCGGGATTTTGCCGTCGTCGAGCCGAGCTCCGAGGCTGCGCCTATCCCGAGGAGCCCGCGTAGGAACTCGAAAACGACTTTCGGTTCGTCCGGATCCGTCCGGATTGAGCGAAGTTATGGTACTAGAAGAGCTCGTTTTTTTCCGCGGAACGCGCGTCGGGGACGCGCGGGCGTTTCGAGGATGGTCCTGTGCTGCGGGTCCGGGAGGATGACATCCAGGAACTTGGCGTAGTGGGGGCGGTTCACGTAGACGGCGACCGACGCCTCGAACTCGAGGTCCTGGCGCCCGCCGGAGGCGCGGGACTCGCCGACGTAGAAGGCCTTGGAGTACTTCGCCTCGAGCCACGTGTAGTAGTCCTTGGCGCCCTTGCCCTTCCTCCGTGGACCTTCTGAGACCGCGCGAAGCTGTCGAGACGTCGACGCGGCGAATAGCAGCACGCTGAGTGACCTGGTTTGGATCAGGACCCAGTAAAGTCTCTCTCTTGCAGAGCGAGCTTTAGGCGCCGACGAGCAGCGCTGCGGTTGCTGCGGCCACTCGGGCCGGCGCAAGGCGCGGGGAATCGAATCCAAACGTCCGCAGGCGCACAGCCGGGCCGACGGGCGGCGACACGGGGCAGCCCAGCTCTCGCAAAACGCTCTCCCTGGTCCGTCAAGTGCAGGGCACTGTGACCCAATTCGACCGGGGCGAGTTTCGGGGGAGTCATAAACCGGCGCATTCGCCGTGGGGCGACGCCCCACGCAGCTTCCCTAATTTTCACGTCCCCCGAAATCCCGGAAGTCGCTCCAGCGGCGCCTCCCAAAACCAGGCGCCAGCGGAGGCGGAGCGGAGCCCGGAGAGCGCCGGGGTTCATTGACCCCCCCTACCAACGCGTTGCCCCTGTGTGTGAGGCCCGTACGGCTTGAGGCTCCATTTCTAGAAATGCGCCACATCAGGTGTGGAAGAACCTCGCCTCGACTCACCGATGTGGTGGCGCCGCCTCGCCGCGCCGACGGCCCGCACCTGGCGCGCGCCGGTGCGCGTGAGCAGCAGCGCCGCGCGCCTGCGCGACGACGTCTTCTTCGCGCCGGCGTCGGCCGTCCTCGCGCCGTTTCCGCGCCCGGCCCCGCTCCCGCCGCGGCGGCCGGAGCGCGACCTCCGGCGGCGCGCGGACCCCTGCCGCGACGCCGAGGCGGCGCTCCACGACGGCCTCGCGGCCGGCGGCGACGCGGGCCGCCTCTTCGCCGACGCGCTCTCGGCCTACGCGCGCGGCGGCGACGGCCCGCGCGCGGCGGCCGCGCTCGGGCGGTGGCGCGCGGGCGGCTTCGCCGACGCGGCCCTCGAGCGCTTCCTCTTCGAGCGCGGCGTCGTCGCCTGCGCGCGGGCCGGCGACGCCGCCGGCGCCGCGGGCCTCGCGGCGGCCGCGCGCGGGGCCATCTCGGACCGCGGACACCGGGCGGCCGTGCTCTGCTGCGTCCGCTCCGGCGACGTCGGCGCGGCCCTGCGCGCCGCGGCCCTCAAGGCGCCCGAGTCGCCGCGGGGCGAGGCGCAGCTGCGGCGGCTCCTGCGGTCCGCCATGTTCCGCCCGGGCCTTCGGGACGAGCTCCCGGTCCTCGACGGCTTCGACGCGCTCGGCCTCGCGGCGGACGGCCAGATGTACGCCCGGGCGGCGGCGGGCGCGGCGGCGCGCGAGGACTGGGAGGCCGTCGTCGCCGTGGGGCGGCGCTTCGACGCCGCGCGCGCGGCCGCGGCGGCCCGCGGAGAGGCGGCCGCGTGCCTCGCGCCGCGCGACGACGGCGCCGTCGGCGTCGCGGCGGCGGGCGCGCTCCAGCGCCTCGGCCGCTGGGACGAGGCGCTGGAGAGCCTCGAGGCCGCGGCGGCGCGGCGGCGCGGCGGCGACGACGTCCTCGCGCCGCGGCGCGCGCGCTCGCGGCCTTTGACGGCTCGCGCGCCGCGTGGCGCGCGGCCTACGAGGCGCTCGTCGAGGCCGCGCGCACGGGCGCGGGCTTCGCCGTGCCCCGCGGCGGCGCCGCGCGCGACGCGCGCGCCTTCGCGGACGAGGCGCGCGCGCTCGGCCGCGACGCGCGCGTCGCCCGGTCCGGCGCCGTCGTCATCGCCGCCGCCGCGGCGCCGCCGCGGCGCGCGGGCGTCGCGCGCGCCAAGGCCGGCGCCGCGGCGCACGCCGCCGCGGCGCGCCACTGCCTCCGGGCCCTCGAGGACGGCGACGCGGCCGCGCTCCGGCGCGCGGCCGCGTGCCTCGGCGCGCGGGACGCGCGCGTCGCGCGCGCGGGCGCGCGGGCCCTGGGCCGCCGGGACCTCGCCCCGGGCGCCGCGGCGGCCATGCACCGCGCGCTCGCGGACTCGGGCCACGGGTCGCCGCGCGGCGACAGGCGCGCCGCGCTCGCGCTCTGGGCCGCGGGCGACCGCGGCGGCGCGGTCGCCGCCGCGGCGGGCGACGCCGCCGCCGCCGACGCGCTCCTCGCCGCCGCCGCGGCGGCGCCGGGCGGCCACGCGGCGGCCCTCGACGCGCACGAGCGGCTCGCCGCCGCGCGGACGGCCGCGGGCACCGTCGCCGTCGCGGCCGCGCTCTGCCGCGCGGGCGAGGTCGACGCGGCCATCGCGCTCGCGGCGCGGTCCGTCGACGCCGACGGCGACGACGCGGCGGCGCTCCTCGCGGCGCTCCGGCGCCGCGCGCCGCGGCGGCCGCCGGGGACCTTCGGCGCCGCGCTCGCGGCCGCCGGCGGCGGCGCGGACGCCGCGCTCGACGCCCTCGTCGACGCCCTCGACGCCGGGGAGGCGCTCACCCTCGGCGACTTCGACGCGGCCCTCGACGTCCTCGAGGCCGCGGGGCGCCACGCGGACGCGCTCGACGTCCTCGACGTCGCCCGGCGCCACGCGGTGGACGCGCCCGGCGACGGCGCGCTGTAGTATAGACCTCTTTTTTCCTGTGCAACGGAAGCTCGGCGCTCCCTACCAGGCCTCCGACGGACATTTAGGAATCTGACTCGCCGGGTCTCGCTAGTTAAACGCGTTTGTTCTGGTAGGTGGGGCCGGCCGTAATGCGGCATCTTGAAGGCCGCACGGGCTTCTTGCAGCGGGGCAACGTGCCCTCAAGGAGCCGTCCCCGGGCCTGCCTGGCGAAACCTTTTTAGTCGCCGACCTTTCAGGTCGCTGCCGATCTGACGAAACCGACCTTTCGAGTCGCCGTTCTTTTAGGTCGTGACGCGACCTTTCAGGAGACGCGGCGCGACCTGGTAGGTCCGAGGGGGCGTCTCGCCTGACACCAGACAGGACCTGAAAGGTCCCGAGAGCCTCTAGCTGGACGCCGCCGACGTCTAGGTAGGCACCTGACAGGTGACCTGAAAGGTCGCGATCTGACGTCAGAAAATCGTCGAACCCGACCGGTGACCTAGTTCTAAAAGGTCGCACCTTTTAGGTCGCACCTAAAAGGTCGACTCGGTCTCGCTAGTTAGACCTGGCGAGACGAACGATTGCCAGCTCGCCAGCACGGCGGCCCGTCGACGCGAACGAGATTCGCAGGTCCGAGCGCGGCGGCAGGACATACAGCCGCTGGACGATCGGCAGCCCGATGGACGAAGCTGTGCCGAAAATTAACTTCAACTTGACTTCATAAAGCGCTTCGGTTTGGCCTCCGGCAGTCAGCAGTATGTTACTACTCCCACCCGACGCATGTTAACGCTCCGCCAGCTTTGGGTTAGGGGGGGGGGTGGGGGGGTTAGGTGGTTAGAGAACCACCCGACGGATGTTAGCGCTGCCCAGATCTACGCTGCCCAGTATTTTATTGAAGTTAAACTTGAAGTCGATTTTGGTGCACACCGCCGCTCCCATCGGGCTGCCTTCGTCCATTTCTGCGCGCCTGCCGCCGCGCTCCGACCTGCGAATCTCGTTCGTGTCGACGGACCGCCGTGCGCACGGGTTGGCAATCGTTCGTCTCGCCAGGTTTAACTAGCGAGACCGAGTCGACCTTTTAGGTGCGACCTGAAAGTTGCGACCTTTTAGAACTAGGTCACCGGTCGGGTTCGACGACTTTCTGACGTCAGATCGCGACCTGAAAGGTGGGACCTTCTAGTTTTAGGCGTGCCGGGCCCTCGCTATCGAGTGGCTGCTGACGTCAGACGCGACCTGAAAGGTGCGACCTTTTAGAAGTAGGTGCGCCCGGCAGATCGGCCGGCCGACGCGGTTTCGCGATCTGACGTCACCTCGCGACCTGAAAGGTGCGACCTCTTAGAGTTGGGCGCCCTGGGACCTCGCCAGTCCTGTGCTGACGTCAGACGCGACCTGAAAGGTGCGACCTTTTAGAAATAGGCGCCCGGGGCCTGCGGCTCGGGCGTCCTTGCCGGCAACTTGGCTCCTCGCTGCCCTTGTCGGCATGCTGCAGTCGGCGTCGCGGCGGCGCGTTTAACTAGCGAAACGAGCGTTTAACTAGCGAGACCCGTCGAGTCAGATTCCTAACTCCCGACGGAGGGTAATCGGAGGGTCCCAAATAGCGTCCAGATCTGG